TGGAACAGAGATTGCCAAGGTGTCAAGAATACCTAGAGTATGACTTGTGGGGTATGTATTGATCTCAAAAATCATACCTCTCCATGATGATAAGCTTCGTTGAGAGCGACAGCAGCTGCAAGTTGGTTTACTTTGATCTCCTTATTCGAACTCCTTCGCAGTAAAGTATGAATCACTTTACGTTGGGATGGCTTCAGTCCGTCCACCACTGAGGGTATGGATCGCTGTAATCGATGGCATAATTAAAAAGGTGGTTATAATGAAGTATTGTGGTCATAATGGGATAGGCAGAGTGTAGGTCAGGAGATTCGAATTGCTGGCGATGCATAGGAAATAGGTCGCCCTCATTGAATAGAAATTCTTTACCCTCAAATCCAATAGTGAATAGCGAAATAGATCATTGTCGACGAATTCTTTATAGGTGATGTCGTTCGTCAGAGGCGCATCATCGGCGCTTTCCTAGAAATACCTGAAGGTTTCTAAATCTTCAAATAATTCATTCATAGACAAAAGCTCCATATTGAGCTGTATGCGGAATCATTTCACACTGAACAATTTGAGGAATGAGTCCTTGTGTGAAGACCTAATGATGGAGTAGAATCACTCTGATCGCTTCCAATTGTAATGCTACTTGCTCGACAATGTAGGCCTGATCTGTCGATGTGCACGGACGCATGAAGTGTGTGCCTTTAAGTCACGGCGCGGTGACCTGTGTGTGTGGCGTGGTGATTGATTTCTGCGACAGTCCTTCTACTCTCATACTATCTTACTATGTCTGCGTCTCCACTGGTTCCTATGCTTAGCAAACAAGCTTATGTCTCGAATCGATTGCTGAGCGATTTTTCTGGTCGCAGCGCGTGGAAAGTTTTCGCGCCTCCGTTCCGTGACTTAACAATGAACATCAGGTTGCATGGACCAACTGTGATTAAGTGATAACCGAGATCTGTGCCCTACCTTCTCCGGAGAAGACGCCTATCCCACCACCTATTCGGCCCCAGATTAAGCACCAGGGTGGCTACACTCCGGCGCGCCGACAGCTTCTCTTCACCTTATGACGCATAGGAATTGTTATTGACAGTAATTCATACCTGGTTGACCGCCACCAACCGCTCGGTAATCCACTCCTTCCTGTCATCCGATCGACGCTTATCAAACACAAGACGAATCCGCAAATCATCGTTGTCATCTTCATGCCGGAACTGTACCAAATGCTTCTCAAAATTCGAAAAATACTCTCGAGCTTCTTTTGAGGTCGATGTACCTACAATGGGTAAGAGTCTGACATGCCATTCGGATAGTGGTAGCGTACGGAAGTTGTCTCGTATGGCTTATAGGCGAAGGTTGGCGATGAAAAGGCAGCTCATTAGAAACCAATAAGTTAGGTAATGTGGGTCGAACACGTGCTCCTGGTCAAACAGAAATACTGTACTATGAGAACCCGGCCCATAAACTCCGGATAAATGACGACTTTTCTGTGCCGTTGACTTCTTGTACTGATAGGAATTCTCATCATACATTCTATTCAAAAACCATACGTTCTCTCTCCCTCTTCTCTCCCTGTTTAAACGGGCTCAGTCAGGACGGCGCGGAGGACTTGAGGACGTGTCCGCGAGAGAACGGGCAGGGATGACCCTTGCCCTACTGCGCTGGAGCGCATACTTACTGGGTCGCGCGAAACGCGCATCGCCATCATACCCTTAGGGGACTCGCCTAAGTGACCATGTTACTTCTCTAGAATACGACAAAGCCTAGCAGTGGGCTTTATTCTGGGATAAAAAGGTAAATTATAAAGCATTCGGCGGTAATCAATCATCCTCTGAGATGCGCCCCGCACTCCGCTTGCATTCGGAATCGCAGCGGTAATCGAATGCGATTCTGACCTACACAATAACATAGCGGCATCGCCAAAGCGATGGTGAGCAAGTCATTGTTTTTTACTCACTTATTTACAAACGAGATTTATTCATCGATTATTTGTTTGCTTACTATAATGCAATCACAAATACGCCATAACTCATCAAAAACCGAATCGCTTACAAATGAAAACATCTAATGAACATAACTCGAATACACAAAAGCAGGACTAGCTTCAACTGCTGCTGCTTAATCCTCTCAGTCGAGTCTGTTACCAACGCCGTAGCTCAAAGGAGGAAAACGGCTTGTTGGCTAGAATGGACTATTGCACGCGGGGATTTGATCACGGACCAGCAGCGCCACTGCCACTACTCCACTTCCCCCGTTTACATGAGAGAAACAAATCCAAAATACACTACCTTGAGACCTTGTAAGTGAGTGGATGTTGTACTTCTCCATTCTCGGGGATTTTAAATCTACCATCTATTAATAGTTTTCATCTCGCCAATAGAAACTAATAGTCTCCCGAACCACGCCGCGCGCTCTGGAACACATACAGATAACGTATATTCAATAAAATAAGGTTCTTCGCGTCATACTAGAACTTGTTTGCAAGCCACACTCCACTTCGAACCCATCCACTTCGGCACCCTCTATCCTCCGTTTCGTCATAACATTCTGCATCTTATAAGTAATCCTTTTTTCCTCAAAACTCCATATTCACGTCTGCCATGCCTCGCTTACCCAAGGCCAACTTATTTCACCGAGCTCAACCTTAAATTCGATTGAAAGGCAAGGTCCGGGATAAGTCCACTGGAGCAAACCCTTTGATTAGGTATATCAGAGCTGATTGCGAACGTCGCCCATGCGCCATTTGAACTGCTCGAAAGGGCGTGATTATGCCGCTTCTTGAAAGTAGCCGGAATGACCGCTTCTGCGTGCCCTCTCATACGGCGTGCTCTCTCGCGTTTTCTGCCTTCTCTGCTCGCTCTTAATCTCCCCCGTACCATACCTGACCTTATAGAAAGTTTAAGCTTTCGATCTCAATGTTTTCGATGGTTTCTTTTGCTTTCAATTCCACTTCCAGCCCCTCTGTACCTGCACCTTCATTCCTGAGCGCTATCACGCACCATGCAGTCCTGCAGCTCTTCTTTAATTACTTGATAACAAGCATCCAACAAAAAACAAAGCTTCTTATCTAACATTCACACCATTCAATTAAGGCCTTAGTCTCAGACGAGGAATAGGAAAAGAGAAATTCATGGAGAAAAACAACTAACTTTAAGCAGAGGAGTCCTAAAGGATTGCACAAATCCGTTACGAAGTAACTGCGGCCAGAAAGTGTGGAGAAAATTGATGATCAGCCCTTTGATATGCGATCCATCCTCGTCCTTAAACATGTCTTAAGAAATAAAAGGAAAGAAACCCTAGTAAGAAAAATGAAGAAACCTTAAAGAAAAACCCAATAATAAGGTTTGCCGATGATTCCGAGGATTCTAAGCTGACTTCCACTCGAAGATTACTGGGTACCCGACAGGAGGCCCGTTTCGCGGCGAGAGGGCAGAGACGAAAATGGGTCGGCGGACGAGTCGTACCGCGTTCTGTGTTCTATAGTACATACTACATCCCATTCAACTTGACGCTATATCGCTACACTACGTGCTACTCGTCCGCTGACCCGTCCAGGTCTCCTCCTTTCGCAGCGCGACGGGCCTCATGTCGGATACTTGGTACTAAGACATTGTTCTTTGGTGCCTCGCTTTTTAAAGAGGACGAGCGCAACACTTCCTTCATTTTCCTCCGCCCTCAACTAGACGCAGGCTATTTCGCTACGTCTGCGTCTCCACTGGTTCTCAGGGTACCCCCCAGGAGGCTCGTCGCGCGGCAAGAAGGCAGAGTCGGCGGACGAGCTGCAGCGCG